ACATGATGTAATCTATGCAGAAATAGAAGTACAATGGTGTACACCTGAAATTTTTACAATGTTATAAACCAATGTTACTGCAATAAACAAAAAATTTTAAAAAAAATTTCATATAAATAAGGAAACTCTCCAAGGTTTGACATAAACTTTGTTTTTAATTATTGGCTAGGGAGAGTGATTGAGGCTGCCCTTCATATTTAAAAGTCATGCTATCAACTGTCTATGTAAGCATTTTAGTTTTTTTAATAATGAAGGTGGAATTAAGGTGAATTATTTATTCAATAAATATTTATTATGTAAAAAAAAAAAAAGATTCATTTTTCAGATGAGGAAATTGAGGTCCAGAGGGGTTAGGTAACTTGCCCAAGGTCACATAAGCAATAGATATAGATAGGTTAGCATTCATGTCTATCTTCTACTGCACCATTCCTAGTTCTTAACACACATTCTGATTCAGTTTTAATTGATGAATTAAAGAACAAAATAATGATTGAATAATGTATGTGCAACTTGGATTACAATTGACCACAAAATCCAGAGATTTCTTTTGCTCTGTGGGTTAGCTCTGCACTCATACACCAATTACTCTGAACTAGTTAGTCCTGACAGATAAAGACACCAGTAGTGATGTGTGTCAACGTAATGGGAATTTTAGGTAATGAGAATCTTAGAATCCAGTGAGATAAAAGCTCAAAATCCTGAAAGACATTTACTTGTGTAGTTCAGCATGGTGTGCTGCTACCAGCAAGAGAAAGAGAGAAACCAAATTGGTGACAATTGAGCGAAATATGAGGGTAGCCTGATTTAAGAACAGAATCAAAGTGTGAGATGTTAGGCATGTGCAGATGACAACAGCATGGAGTAATGCATCCTGTGGCTGGTATGACTGTTCTTGGTCAAACAAGAGAGGACTGGCTAAAAAAAACGCTATCTGACTCCCTCCTGAGACAAGTGTGATACATTTATAAGCTCAGTTGTGACAAATTTAGGAAGCTATAGACAGAGAAAATAATACAAAAGTTGAAAAAATGCCCTTATGATGCATTTCAAAGACAGTAATTGTTACAGTTCTATGATTCAGAAAGATAAATTAACAATGTGGATAGAGAAGAAACATACTCACTTTTATGATAGTCCTTGGTGGATCTGAGTCAGAGTTTAAACTTTTTTTTTATAGTTTTTTCCGATTATCTATAATAAGGGAAACATAATGTTTTAGATAGAAAAATTTTATTTTTAACTAATTTTATAAAATTACTTCACTTTTGCACACTCATTACTTAAAATTTAAAGATTTTGTTCAGATTCCCCCTTGTCATAAATCATCCATTTCTCAATCAAAAACCCAATCTGTGAGGATGAGAAAATCTAATGAGCATACTTCCAAAAATATTGTGTTATGAAATTTAAATGTCACGTGTCTCATGATTATTCTGATATTGCTCAGTGATATAAGTTTTCCAAAAAGCTTTTCTCCAAAAGGAACAGACACATTTTATGTGTTTTGGAATATACTGTTGTAGAAGAGTTTGTTTTTCAGGAAAACATAATAGAAACCTCTCTGGAGACAAAAAAACTAGTGCATCTGCAGCACAACTGATTTTCGCAACACTGTAATTGGGTTCCCTTGGGAGCCATTAGATATTGGAGGAATGGAGAATTCTACCTAACACTAGGCTTTGCATTAGGCAAAGAGAAAGACTGATGGAAAAATTATTCCTTCCTTGATTATTTTTCAAATTATCCTTCTGATAATTATTTTAAAAGAAGAGAGACTCACCCTGACTCTCATAAATTTCAATGAGAAAACATTAATGGTGAGGTTAGAATCTAATTGGGACCTGGAAGACATCCCAACCTAGGTGATTCATCGGTATAAATATGGATGAAGTATTTTTTTGAGTACAGCTGAGGT